GTTGGGGGTTTATCTGCGGCAGCTGCTGGAGGCCCGTCGGGGTACTATTGTATTGGGAGCAGCAGCAGCAATACAAACAGAAGAAAAAGCAGCACTACCAACAGCAGCAGCAGCAGCAGCAGCAGCAGCAATGAAGCAGCAGCAGCAGCACCAGCAGCAGCAGCAGCAGCAGCAGCAGCAGCAGATCCCTCTGATGAAATGGAGGAGGAGGCGACAGCTGAAGCCGATCCCAGCCCCCGCAGCCGCAGCAACAGCAGCAGCAGCAGCAGCAACAACAGCAGCAGCAGCAGCAGCAGCAGCACGTACGATACATCATCACAACCAGCACCAGCAGCAGCAGCAGCAGCAGCAGCAGCAGCAGCACCTGCTGCTGCTGTTGTTCAGTGTTATACTGTAAACCCTAAAGCTGTAAAGAGCGAGGGTTTGTTAGGGTTTATGAATGAAACAACAAAAGAGTGGGCGGATGGGGTTTGTAGTTGTATAATACGAGGGTTTATTGAACAAGAAAATAATATAAATATAAACACAAACACAAACACAAACACAAATATAAATACAAATAAAAATATAAATATAAATTATAATTTATATAAATATAATAAACAAATACTCATACTTGATGGGCCCATAGATTCTCTTTGGGTTGAATCTCTTAATACTGTACTAGACGACAACCAAACCCTCTGTCTACCAAACGGTAAACCCTAAACCCTAAACCCTAAACCCTAAACCCTAAACCCTAAACCCTAAACCCTAAACCCTAAAAATCAAAAAAAATAAAAAAATAAAAAAATAAAAATATTAAATGAGGTGATTAACAGATGTTATGTTTATCTAAGGGTAAACCCTAAACCCTAAACCCTAAACCCTAAAACTTAAAATGATATGCTAATTCATAAAAATATATTTTGGTGTTTAGTGTTTATTGTTTGTTGTTTAGGGTTTAGGGTTTAATGCTTAGGGTTTAGGGTTTAGGGTTTCTTGTATATATATATATACGCGAGGGGTTTTGTTTCTCTTTATCTATTCGTTTACTTTTTGAGGCCGCTAGTGTTTAGGGTTTAGGGTTTACTAGGGTTTAGGGTTTATATATATGTATATACAGGAGAGCGTTTGGTGTTGTCTCCTTCTATTCGTTTACTTTTTGAGGTTTCGGATTTATTTTCTTCTTCGCCCGTATATTCTTTAGGGTTTACTAGGGTTTAGGGTTTACTAGGGTTTACTAGGGTTTAGGGTTTACTAGGGTTTATGTATATACAGGAGAGCGTTTGGTGTTGTCTCCTTCTATTCGTTTACTTTTTGAGGTTTCTGATTTATTTTCTTCTTCTCCTGTATATTCTTTAGGGTTTACTAGGGTTTAGGGTTTACTAGGGTTTAGGGTTTACTAGGGTTTATGTATATACAGGAGAGCGTTTGGTGTTGTCTCCTTCTATTCGTTTCCTTTTGTTTTTGTTTCTGATGTATTTTCTTCTTCTCCTGTATATTCTTTAGGGTTTACTAGGGTTTACGAGGGTTTAGGGTTTACAAGGGTTTAGGGTTTACTAGGGTTTATGTATATACAGGAGAGCGTTTGGTATTGTCTCCTTCTATTCGTTTACTTTTTGAGGTTTCTGATTTATTTTCTTCTTCGCCTGCAACTGTCTCCCGCTGCGGTATTTTATTTGTCTCCTCCCACCATATACACTGGACTCATGTTATGCAAGCTTGGCTCAATAGGTATGTTGCTGCTGCTGCTGCTGCTGCTGCTGCTGCTGCTGCTGCTGCTGCTGCTGCTGCTGTGGGTGGTGCTGCTGCTGCTGTGGGTGGTGCTGTGGTTGCTGCTGCTGCTGCTGCTGCTGCTGCTGTGGGTGGTGGTGGTGTTAATGCCCCACCACATACACTGGACTCATGTTATGCAAGCTTGGCTTAATAGGTATGTTGCTGCTGCTGCTGCTGCTGCTGCTGCTGCTGCTGGTGCTGCTGCTGTGGGTGGTGGTGGTGCTGCTGCTGCTGCTGTGAGTGTTGGTGGTGGTGGTGGTGCTGCTGCTGCTGCTGCCCCACCACATACACTGGACTCATGTTATGCAAGCTTGGCTCAATAGGTATGTTGCTGCTGCTGCTGCTGCTGCTGCTGTGGGTGGTGCTGCTGCTGCTGCTGCTGCTGTGAGTGTTGGTGGTGGTGTTGGTGCCGCACCACATACACTGGACACATGTTATGCAAGCCTGGCTTAGTAGGTAACTTGCTGCTGCTGCTGCTGCTGCTGTGGGTGGTGGTGATGGT